AAGATACTGTGAACACTAAGTCCATGGGCCTGGAATTACAGCTTCCTTGGGAAGGGTGTCCCTGGACCCTCTGGCTACTGCATTCCACCAGCTAATCAATACCTAGCAGTAGCCAGACACAGCAGTACACATCTGTAATCCTAGCACATGGAAGGCTGAGGCAGGACTTCAAGTTCCAAGCCAGCCTGGGCTACACATACCATCTAAAAAACAAAACAAAACAAAAACAACAGAGGGACTACCTGCCCCACACAGACATTCTCCTTCTCTTTTTCCTTGAAACAGAAAAGCCCGAAAGCCACTGATAAAGCCCAGTCTGCTATTCTGTGTCAGCTCCACACCTCCCCTGGTCACTGGCCCTAGTCTTCCCTGCCTCTGTCCCACAGTCCCCAGCTTCATCCTCCTGTTCCTCGATGCTCTGCCTCATGCCCTCGGCCCTGAGCTCTGGGCCTGGTTCCGGCCTTCCCCTAGATGGTCATTTTCCTTCTCCCTTCGGCCCTCTGCACAGTAATCACATTCCACCTGCCCAGCAGGGGCCTGCATACCAGAAAGCCTGTGGGAGTGAGGCTCTTTGTTTTATGCATGTCCCCCCCCACCATGTGCAAAAGCACTGAGTACGCACTTGCTCTGCCACCCACACCACTGGGTCCTGTTAAGGGACCACTGCAGGGTGTCAGGAAATGAGCATGTGGTAGCACCACCCCCTCATGGTCTTTTTTTTTTGTCGGTCGTTGGGCTCGAGCTCTGGGCTTGGACACTGTCTCTCAGCTCTTCAGCTCAAGGCAAGTGCTCTATCACTAGAGCTACAGTGACACTTCCGGTTTTCTGGTGGTTTATTGGCGATAAAGAGTTTCACGAACTTTCCTGCCCAGGCTGGCTTTGAACCTCAATCCTCAGTTCTCAGTCTCCTGAGTAGCTAGGATTACAGGCATGAGCCACTGGCGCCTGGCCCCCTCATGGTCTTTTTGGTTACTGCACTGAGGCTGGTTCTACTGCCTTCAGGGATCCTGGAGGGCAACGCCTCCCTCCTATTACCTCCCCTTGGAAAGTCTCCGCAGCAGAGGCCTGGGCTGGAGCTCTGCCATTGCTTTCTCCCGCACTGTGACCTATCTGACCTACAGCAGGGTGGAGGGTACAGATGGGCTCTGGGAAGCCTGAAGCTCTGGGTCTCCCTTCAGTCTCCACTTCTTTAGGGGTAGGCAGTCAGCTGTCTTCTGGAAAACTCTCAGGCAACTGTCACCCTTCCAAGTCTGCACCAGATCTCAATCCCACCCCTGTACCTCCAGGGCTGCCCAGGGTCCAGCACACCCATCCCTGGTGCTGAACCCCAGGGGCAATGGCCCGTGGGCCACCTGTGCACTGTCCTTGGTGCTGAGCCCGGCCACAGCCTGTACCTCTCCGGGCGCATTGCCGCTGTCCTTGGTGCTGAACACACAAGGCACCCAAAGCTCAGGCAGCTAGTGGTTCACAAAGCTGAACGCTGGGCCCAGCTCTTCCCTCAGGCTTCCCGCTTTGGCACAGAACATTCTGAGGGTGTCCCATGCAGGAGTGAAGCAGTGATTCTGGGCTGTGGGAATGTGTCTGTGCTGGGTCTCACCTGCAGTCTGTGAATGAATGAGTCACAGGTCTCTCCCTACCTCCACCTCCACCGTGCCCAGCACCCTGAATCCTTCCCCAGCCTGTGATGTGGGTACTACCCAGACCCCATCATACAGAGATCACTGAAGCTTGTGGAAGTAAAGCTGCTTACCCAACACTCCACAGTGCTGGGCCTGACTCAGACCCCAGGCTTCAGCCTATTGGCTAGAGCAGGGCACATGCCTGAGGCTGCAGGCTCCTATGGCTCTGTGCATGCCCCATTCCCTCCCCATGTTCAAGGGTGCTGGGTGCTGCAGGCCCCCACACTCACTTCTGTTTCTGCTTCATGATGCCCTCGGCATTGGGAAGGCAGTTTGTCCATGGCAGGGACCCGTACAGCCACTTTAGCAAACAATACCCCAGGCTCTGGAGGTCGCTGCGGCGGGAGGGCCCTAGGGAGGGGGAGGGGGTGTCAGCGCTGCCTGCCCTTCCACGGGAAGTATAGCCCAGTGCTGATCCTCCCACCCTTACCACAGCCCCGGTGCACGTCCAGGCTGATGAACTCCAGGTCCCCCTCATGTGGTCTCCTGCTGCCTTCTGTGTAGGCCACGTGTCTGCCACTTGGGCAATAGCGGAAGGAGAAGCCATAGCCCACTAGGGTGACCTGTGGGCATGGGACACACACATAGGTTAGGAGGGCAGACTGTGGGCCCATGTGAAATCCATTCATTACAGATGTTGTGTCCAATCCCCATTGCTGTGACAGTATCTGAGCAACCTGAGGAAAGAGAGGACTTATCTTGGCTTATGGTTTCAGAGCTTTCTGCCCAGGGCCAGCTGCCTGGGACCCCAGGTATGGCAGAGTATGATGGTGGTGGGAGTCTGTGATAGAGGAGGCTGCTCTCCTCAAGGTGGCCAGGAAGCAGAGAGACAAAGGAAGGCCGGGACAAGCCATACCCTTCAGAGGCAGGACTCAAAGCTGGGGTTGTATCTCATGCCAGTAATCTCACTCTTCAGGAGGGGGAGGCAGAGGATCATGAGTTGGAGGCCAGCCAGGCCATCCTGGCAAGACCCTACCTCAAAATGCCACAAAAGGGGAAAACAGATAGGAGGGGGAGAACAATGGAAGGGATGACTCTGATCAGGAAACACGGGACATTCCAATGGACACATTAAATTGTAACCCCTTCTGCAACCCTTTTTTTAAAAAAATTTTGGTCGTGAGACTTGAACTCTGGGCCTGGGGGCTGTCCCTCAGCTCTTCAGCTCAAGGCTTCACCACTTGAGCCACAGTGCCACTTCCGGCTTTATGATGTATAATTGGAGGTAAGAGCCTCATGGATGTTCTTACTCCGGCTGGCTTTGAACCGTGATCCTCAGATCTCAGCCTCCTGAGTAGCTAGGATTACAGGCGTGAGCCACTGGCACCCAGCTCTACCACCTTTTGAAGTTCAGAAATAAAATTTTAAGAGGCCTGCCTACAATGAGATATTTCCTCCACTGGGGCCCAGCTCCCAATTTCCACCATCTTCAATAATCCCCATTGCTTTATGGCACAGATGGATTCCCTCATGGATGAGCTCCCAACATACCTCACTCCTCTCGTCCCCCCTCCCCCACACCTGTCTTTGTCGTTGTTGGTCAGAGCCTGGGCACTGTCCCTATGCTCTTTTGCTCAAGGCTAGAGCTCTACCACTTTGAGCCACAGCTCTACTTCCAGTTTTTTGGGTTTTCTTCCCAGTCATCGGGCTTGAACGCTGGGCCTGGGTGCTGTCCCTCAGCTTTTCAGCTCAAGGCTAGCACTCTACCACTTGGGTTTTTCTGTTTATGTGGTGCTGAGGAATCGAACCCAGGGCCTTATGCATGCAAGGCAAGCACTCTACCTCTGAGCCACCTTCCCAGCCCCTACTTCCAGTTTTCTGATTTTTTTTTTTGGTACTGGGGATCGAACCTAGGACGTTGCACTTGCTAGGCAAGCCCTTTGCCACTGAGCTACATCCCAGCCCTGATGTTTTAACTGGAGATGAGAATCTCATACTTTCCTGCCTGGGCTGGCTTTGAACCATGATCCTCAGATCTTAGCCTCCTGAGTAGCTAGGAATATAGGTGAGAGCCATCATTGCCTGGCTTATGGATTTTTTTTTTTTTCTTTTTTGCCAGTCCTAGGGTTTGAACTCAGGGCCTGGGCACTATCCCTGAGCTTCTTTTGCTCAAGGCTAGTGCTCTACCCTTGAGCCACAGTGCCCCTTCCAGCTTTTTCTGTGTATGAGTTACTGAAGAATTGAACCCAGGGCTTCATGATGCTAGGCAAGCGCTCTACCACTAAGCCACATTCCCAGCGCCTGCAGATTTTTCTGTGCACTACTTTTTACCCTTTGTTTATCATCTTTCTAGTAAGTTGCTTGTCTCTTCTTAGTCCAAGGAATCCCTTATATGTGATGGATGGCAATCCTTTGTTTGCAAGAAGCACTGTGAAGCCAATGGAGATTTGCAGGTGGGTGAGATCCTGAGCTCAAAGAACTTCAGAAGTGTGCAGGTAGGTGTCCGGTGTGGAGGGGACTGGCAGGGACTTACCTGACTCAGATCCTCTGGATTCACAAAGACACATGCAGCTGTCAGATTTCCATGAACATACTCGCTTTCATGGAGGAACTCCAGGGCATCCAGCTAGAAAGAGAGTGCATCAGGTAGACCTGCCTGTCACAGAGAGGCTCTGATGTAAAGGTGGATGGGGGACCCTCACTACTAGGCCTGGAGGGAGAGTGGGTGGGGGGCATTGTTCAGCACTGCATGTGGCTTGTCTCACTCTGGCAGCCCTGGGACATCCACTGTCCTAGGTCCCCAGATAACAATGGTCAAGAGGCTCTCTCCACGTACCCAGCAGTGTGAGGGCCTCCAGGTGGCAGGTCGGGAGTGCTGCCCCCGAAGTGTAGTGAATTAGCAACCTGAGCAAGGAGGACCTGAGCCTGCCCACCTCAGGTACCTACCAGGCGGCAGGCCAACTGAAGCACACACTTCTCTGACACAGCATGCCTTGCGCTGTCATCCAGGGCTGACTGAAGGCTCCGCCCCAGGCTGGGGAACACCAAGAACCTGGACGACAGGAGAGCAGGACTTAAAAGCTGCTTCTGCTGAAAGTTCTGGCTCCCTGCTTGGGCCTGCAAATATTCAAAGGGAACTAAAAGCAGGACAAAAACGTGGCATCCATCGCTGCCTCCATTCTGTTCTGAGCGATCTCTCTACGGGCTCCTCGGTTTCCTGGAAGAGCAGTACAGAATGGATGGATAAATGTCTTGGTGAGGTGTGTGTCTGTGTATGTGCACATGTGCAAAAGTGTCGCTACTATTAGTTTGAACTCAAGGTCTGGGTGCTATACTTTAGGTTTTTCCGCTCAAGGTTAGCACTCTACTTGCACCACAGCTCCACTTCCAGCTTTTTGGTGATTAATTGGAGGTAAGAGTCTCACGGACTTCCCTGCCTGGGCTAGTTGGGAAGCAGACTTCATATGGAGAACCCTAGAACTGGGCCTCCCACAAACATCCCAGGACATGGCTTGCACAGGGGAGGGAGGAATACAGACCCCAAGGGAAGATGGTGGCCAGGGCACTGCAAGGCCCTGCACCTGCGTGACTGAAGGATTGAGAGTAGCCAAGCCCAGGCAGAAGGCCCACTATGGGACTGGCAAGGGGGGCAGGGGCTCACCTGTATTTGTCCTGGTGAACACCAAAACCGATGCAGGTGGGGATGGCGAGCAGCGGGGTTGAGTTCAGCTTCTTCCATTTGTTCACTGGGGGAGGTGGGTGCAGGGTCACACCCCACCCCCACCCTGTCCCAGGCTCAGAAACCTCACACCCATAAAACAGAAGTGAAAAGTGACAGAGCCTAGGTAACCCTGGGTCTCCTTGTTGGAGACTCCATCTTTGTGAGTAGGGAAATGGTGCACATGAGTGACCCAGTAAGGTTTGTAACCCATGTCTACAGGCGACTTTTGAGAAAGCACATATAAATCTGGAGCAAATGAAGGATAGAAACTATGCAGAGCTGGGAAGGTGGCTCAGTGGTAGAGCGCTTGCCTTGCATGCATGAGGCCCTGGTTCGATTCCTCAACACCACATAAGCAAAAAAGAAAAAAGCCGGAAGTGGCGCTGTGGCTCAAGTGGTAGAGCGCTAGCCTTGAGCTGAAGAGCTGAGGGACAGTGCCTAGGCCCAGAGTTCAGGCCCCATGACCGGACCCCCCCCCCAAAAAAAAATCAGAATTATGCAGCTGGCTCTGGGTACTCAAGAGGCTGAGATCTGAGGATCAAGGTTTGAAGCCAGCCTAGGCAGGAAAGTCTGCGAGACTCTTTTCTCCAATTAACCATTAAAAAGTTGGAAACGGAATTATGACTCAAATGGTAGAGTGCCAGCCTTGAGGGAAAAAGCTAAGGGACAACGCCCATGCCCTGAGTTCAAGCTCCAGTATGGTATGAGCCAAGCCATTTGCCCTCTGAGGCCCAAGGGTGACAGGAGTCAGGCTGTGGGGGATGGAAGAGCTGTACAGGTGCATCAGGTGCATCATCCACACAACAGGGGAAGGGCTAGAAGCTGTGAGCAAGCTGGTGGCCCCACCCTTTCCTGTGGAATACCTTGCAGAGGCTTGGCAGCCCTCTGGAAGAAGTTCTGCTCATTGAACAGGCGCCCATCCTTGGCATCCTGGTGGGGATCAGAGTGCAGATGTCACACTGAACTCCCTTAGACAAGAGCCCAAATCACCACCGTTACCCCAGAGGAGTACCAGGGACGACCAAGTTCTTCATGTCCCCACATGAGGACTGAACTGCCCAGGGCTGTCACACATAAGTCTGGCTCAGAGGCTGTGAGCTCATTCTAAGTACTCCCAACGGATTCCCTTTTTCTGATAGGATCCACAAGATTTCTCTAGACAAGCTGCCTACAGTTAAAACTACATTTCCCAGGATCCTTTTTAACAAGGCAAAAATCACAGGACCAGGTTCTAGCCAATGAAGATATGGACAAAAGAAATGTGATATTCAGGTCATTCCCTTAAAAGGCTAAGATGCATCACCCTTACACGGCTACTTATTAAGCTGTCTACTTATCCTGCCACCTCCCCCCTCCTCCCCAGGAGCTCTCTGAGGGCAGAAACTAGTCCAGCTGTCTGTGGCTATGCCCTGTCCAGGGCTCCAGTGCTCCTGACAAGCCAGAGACACCCTGGATCTGTGCCAGGCCCTCCCAGCTTGCAGAGGTATTCAGAGCTCAATGGTCTTTCCTCTGAGCTGTCCACCTACTACCCAGGGGCCAACTTACCAGTTTGAGGGAGAAACGATGTTTTGCAGGCCTGGACCTTGACTGGCAGGGGAAGGCAGAGGCAGGCTCAGCTGTGGAGGAACAGATGTGTGTGTGTGTGTGTGTGTGGAGGGGGTAACCAGGGTTGTGGCTTCCAAACCTCTCAGCAACAATTTCCTAACTGGGAAGGTCAAGGTCCTAACTGAGAAAGGTCAAACTTATAACTGGGGAAGGTCAGGGTCATTGCTCCCAAACTCCCCAGCAGTCAGCAGCAGCTCCTCGATTCCCACAGGCAAGTGCACTCTTGGTGTTCAACACCCACTTCTGCCTATTCCCTCCCTGCCCTTTTTGTTTTGGTTGGTCATGGGGTTTGAACTCTAGGCCTGGGTATTGTCTCTGAGCTCTTCAGCTCAAAGCTAGCACTCTACCACTTGAGCCACAGTGCCACTTCTGGCCTTTTCTGTTTATGTGGTGCTGAGGAATCAAACCCAGGGCCTCATGCATGAGAGGAAAGCACTCTACCAGAACCACCTTTCCAGCCCCCTTTTCCCCATTTTTGCACAGGAAATAGTCTAGGACCTTGTGTATATTAGGCAATTGCAAGTAAGTCACACCCTCACCTTTTTTTGTCTGATTTGTTGTTATGGTAAGAAAACTTGGCAGAGCTTTATTGAGTAAATAAGCAGGCAAGCAGACAAACAGGCAAAAAGCAGACAAATACACACAGAAGGGCAGGGGCACACTCTAACAGAGTGTGTGTGCGGGGCTGGGAAGGTGGCTCAGTGGTAGAGTGCATGCCTTGCACGCCAGAGGCCCTGGGTTCGATTCCTCAGCACCACATAAGCAAAAAGAAAAAAGCCGGAAGTGGTGCTGTGGCTCAAGTGGTAGAGTGCTAGCCTTGAGCTGAAGAGCTGAGGGACAGAGCCCAGGCCCAGAGTTCAGGCCCCATGACCGGACCCCAAAAAACAAAACAAAACAAAAAAAAAAACAGAGTGTGTGTGCTCTCATAGGGAGAGATACCCTGATTTTGTTGAGACTGGATCTCACTAAATGTTGCCCAGGTTGACCTACAACTGTAACCTTCCTATCTCCACAGTGAGGTGCAGGGCTCCCTCCCCATTCTCCGTGCTGAGCGCCGGGGCCCCGTGTACCTTCATAGAGAATGCCCTGGTCATCCCTGCTCTGGAAGTCCCCCAGCTTCCAGCACTGCCCGCTCTTGTCTGTCAGCACCGTCCCTGTGGGCAAAGCCTCAAGCGAGGTGGTCACTCGGCTCCGCTTCAGTGTCTGAGGGCTCTGCCTGTTGGCCTTTGGGCTGCTTTTGGGGGTTGAGGATCTGCTCCGGGCCCCTGCAGGAAGATGGAACCCATAGAGAAAAGGCAGCATTAGGGGCTGGGCTGTGGCTCAGTGGTAGAGCACCTGCCTTGCAGGTGTGAGGCTTGAGATTCAACCCAGTACCATCAAACAAATAAAATGCAAATACAGGGAATATTTGGAGAAAAAAGTTGTCCGGGGGAAGAAAACAATCACAATGTTACTTGCTCAGTTAGTCAGTCATTCATTCAGCAAATATTTCCTTAAAGGTCAAGATGTTTGTGTGGTGATTCAGTGGAGTCAGAATCACCTGGAACTGCCCCCCACCCCCCAGGACCCCCTAGTGTGAGGAGATGGTGCATATAGTCTGATATAAACGTGTCCAGTCAGACAGATACTAGAGCCAGAGACCAGCAGTAACTGAAGGAGTCAGAGGAAGCTACCTGGAGGAAGGCACATTACGGCTGAGTCTTGTTGGATGAGAATAAGTTTCTTGCCATGGGGAAAAGGACATTACAGATATTGGCTCCAAAGCAAATGGAAACAGGACTTGGCCCTGAGCTGAGTAGGAAGAGGACCCAGAAATGTGTTACATGGACACATCACCCACCTCCTGCCCACTGTCCCCCCCATGGCACACAATGGCCAACAAGAATGTGGCCAGGCCATCCTGGAGCCAGATGAGAGTGGTGCATGATGGGAGCAGTGGGGGCTATAGTGAAGATGAACAGGAGGGAGGGCTGGAGGTGTCAGAGGGTCCTGGCAGGTGGCCAGGCTGACAGCAGCTTTGTCTCACACATTGTCAGATGACCCATCCAGAGTCAGACGACTTCCAACTCTTACCTTTGGCCTTCCCAGGGGGACTGAAGATCTCTTCAGACTCGGAAATGTGACCATCAGAGAGGAGGGTTGATCTGTGGCAGTGAACAGCGTGTGACCATTTCACTTTCTTGGGAGAAGTTTCAGAACTGGAGCTGAACTCTTTCCTTGAGCCTAAAGGCAGAACAGACTCGGACCGTAGTTATGAAATCATTAGGTTTCAGCAAAGCAAAAACCTGCACTCATGCTCAGCCATGTTCTTCCCTTCGACTCAGCTTCCTGCTGCTTCTTTCATCAGTGTCAATAACCATTCCCTTCTTTTTCCTTCTTTTTTTTTGTCGGTCGTGGGCCTTGAACTCTGGGCCTGAGAGCTGTCCCTCAGCTCTTCAGCTCAAGGTTAGCACTCTACCACTTAAGCTACAGCGCCACTTCCAGTTTTCTAGTGATTTATTGGAGATAAGAGTTTCACAGACTTTCCTGCCTGGGCTGGCTTTGAACCGTGATCCTCAGATCTCAGCCTCCTGAATAGCTAGGATTACAGGCGTGAGCCACAGGCACTCGGCTTCCATTCCCTTCTTTTATTTATTCTCTTATCCATGGGGCCTAACGCCACCATCTGTTAACTCTGTGCCTCCTTCTAGGTAACTGCTTCAGATGTCTTACAGTTCACTAACTTTCACTTTAGCTATGTCTAGTCTGCCATTTAAACCATACACTGAATTTGACTCTAATAGTGTATATCTATCTACCTGTATAGATATATAAATGTACATGCATACGCACATATATGTATTTAAAGATGCACATGTAGGGGGGAGGCTGGGAAGGGATGTGAAGGGTAAACCAAAGGAGAAGGCTGCAATGCTTGGTAAGAAATGTACGCATGTAATTGTAACCCCTCTGTACAGTATATTCACAAATAAAATAAAATTTAAAAAAAAAGAACTAAAAAAAAAAAAAGATGCACATGTGCCATCTCCTAGGTGTCAAGTGGGCATTTGGCTGTATTTGGATTGAGTTCAGGGAAGGAATGAGATAAGAGACAGGAAGGTACGCTCTTCTACACACAGCAAGGGTTAGTGAACCAAGGACTAGGGACTTTTTCTCTGTCAAGGGCCCTTGGAATACATGTAACAGTCATTCCTGGGCCTTACAAATAATCAACCCAGGCAAGCAGGCCTCACAGCAGTATACATATTTGTGTCATCCTGTGCCAAGTGATTCTGAGGGCCAGATACTGCCTGACAGGAGTGGGTAACAAAAAGATTCCCAGCTCTGGATCGCTGGGGCCCATGAGAAGCCCAGGGACCATGTGTGCAAGCAGAACTGCTGGGCCTAAGTCCCAGGCTTCACGAGGGTCTGGGCAGTGTCTGTCCTCCTTGCACCACACTCTAGCACCTCACCATGCAGCAGGAATATGTTCTCAGCTTTCTTCTTTCCTTTCTTTCTCCCTTCCCTTCCCCTTCTCTTCCTTCCAAGCTAGCCTTGAGCTTGCAATCCTCCTACCTCCACAAGCTGAATGCTAAGATCACAGGCATGCCCCAGCACACCCAACTAAATCTACTGTGTCCTCACCTTGGAAGGATGATTGGAATGGGCTGACACAGCTCGATGACCCCTCATGTTCCTCTGTAGGCAAAGGGCTCCCACAGTACGGGCAGAACTTGAATGTCGCTTCAACACTTTTGCCACAGCCTGGACAGAAGGAGATCATGCTACAAAACAGAGAGGAGAGTGAGACAGGGAGCTGACACCGCCATCCCTGCTGCTGAGCTGTCATTCCAGTCTTCCACAGTGACACGTGACCCAATCCAGTAGCCTGCCTTCACCTTATCTACACACTGCAACTCGGACCCTAGGCACTGTCCTGAAGCTTTTGTGCTCAAGGCTGGTGCTCTATCACTTGAGCCACAGCTCCATTTCTGGCATTTCTGGAGTCTCGTGGATTTTTCTGCCCAGGCTGACTTTGAATCATAATCTTTAGATATCAGCCTCCTGAGTAGCTAGGATTATAGGTGTGAGCAACCAGTGTCCAGCTTCCATTGTTTGTTTGTTTATTTTTTCTTTTCTTCTGCTGTGGCTCCCCCCCTCCCCCCAGTCGTGGGGCTTGAACTCTGGGCCTGGGCACTGTCCCTGAGCTCTTCAGCTCAAGGCAAGCACTCTACTACTTGAGCCACAATGCCACTTCTGGTTTTCTGTTAGTTTACTGGAGATAAGAGTTTCATGGACTCTTCCTGCCCAGGCTGGCTTTGAATCTTGATCCTCAGATCTCAGTAGCTAGGATTACAGGCGTGAACCACAGGTACCCGGCTCCACTGGATCCTGTTTCACTCCTTGTGATTCTCCTATTTGTACTTCTCTGTGTTACTGGGTTGATAAGTATGTGTGATCAGATGCAGCCATTGGTTGAGATGGAATCTCTCTCTTTTTTTTGGGGTCTGGTCTTGGGGCCTGAACTCTGGGCCTGGGCGCTGTCCCTCAGCTCTTCAGCTCAAGACTAGCGCTTTACCACTTGAGCCACAGTGCCACTTCCGGTTTTTTTTTTTTGCTTATGTGGTGCTAAAGAATCGAACCCAGGGCCTCATGCATGCAAAGCAAGCACTCTACCACTGAGCTACCTTCCCAGCCCTAGAGATAGAATCTCTTAAGCTACTTTTTTTCTTTTTTTTGGTGGGTTGTGGGGCTTAAACTCTGGGCACTGTCCCTCAGCTCTTCAGCTCAAAGCGAGCGCTCTACCACTTGAGCTACAGCACCACTTCCAGTTTTCTGGTGGTTAATTGGAGATAAGAGTCTCTGGGGGACTTTCCTGCCTGGGCTGGCTTTGAACTGTGATCCTCAGATCTCAGCCTCTTGAGTAGATAGGATTTCAGATGAGAGCCACCAGCCCTCGGCCTTAAGCTACTTTTTCTTGCATGAGTTGGCCCTGAACTGCAATGTTCACTCAGAGAGGTGGCAGTGGCAGGAGCGGGCTATGGGTTTGAGCAGGCTTCAGGGATCATAAGCCCCAGGGGACAGTACCTTTATGGACCCACAGTCTGGTCCTTGCCCTCACTGAACTGGAAACTCCATCCTGATGATGGCCTGGAAGGGAACAAAGGAGCAGGCACAGACTCAGGCTCCCTATCCAGGTCAGAGTTAAAAGGTTAATATTAACTGAGCACTGGACAAGAAGTCCACCCTTTCTTCCTCCCATCCTTCCCTTCCCTCTTCCTCCCCACTCTCCCTCCTTCTGTCCCTCCTACATAATTACTAGTTATTATTTTTGCCAGTGCCAGGGCTTGAACTCAGGTCCTGAGCTGTCCCTGAGCTTTTGTGTTCAGGGTTAGTGCTCTACCACTAAAGCCATTTTTGGGTTTGGGGCTATTTAATTGGAGATAAGAATCTTACGGACTTTCCTGCCCCCAGTGACTTCAAATCATGACCCTCATATGCCAGCTTCCTGAGTAGCTACAATTATAGCTGTGAGACAGCAACACCTGTCATACCCAACTTTATACTGGTGGAGAGAGGATGTTGCAAGTTTTTTGTCTGGGTTGACTTCAAACCACCAGTACAATGGTTAGGATTTAATCTGCTGAGGTTTAACTGTATTTTTTTTCCTTTTTTTGTCGGTAGTGGGGCTTGAACTATGGGCTTGGGCACTGTCCCTGTGCTCTTTAGCTCAAGGCAAGTGCTCTACCTCTTGAGCCATAGCACTACTTCCAGTTTTCTAGTGGTTTATTGGAGATAAGAGTCTCACGGACTTTCCTGCCCGGGCTGGCTTTGAACTGTGATCCTCAGATCACAGCCTCCTGAATAGCTAGGATGACAAGTGTGAGCCACTGGCACCCAGCTAACTGTATTTTTTTTTTGTCTTTTCTTTTTTGGTACTGGGGATTGAACCCAAGACATTGCACTTGCTAGGCAAGTGCTTTGCCTCTGAGCTACATCCCAGCCCTTTCTGAGGTTTAAATCTGGCTTTCGCCTATGTACTGGTGTCATGTTGAACAATAATTATTGGATAATTGTTTTTTTTCTGGGATGGGGATTGAACCCAGTTTCTCCTACGTGCTAGGCAAGCACTCTGTTTCTGTGTAATATTCTTAGCACATGCAGGGGACATACTAATCACATTTACATATTAGGTTTTGAAGGCTAGCAGACTAACCCATCCAGATACATTGGGAAAAGAAATATCTTTTTTTTAAATTATAGATGAGTCACCTGGCCTATATAAAATATAAACTATCTTAATGACTCAGCTCCATTCATTTCTAGCCATGTGGTTCCCAAGCAGTTAAATTAACTCCTACCCCGGACATTTGTACCTGTGGCTCCCTCTGCAACAAATGCTCCTCTCACTATAGCTGGTTTGCTTTTCATTCTTCAGGTCTCACCTCAACAGTTCTTCCCTGACTACTACATAAAAAGTACAGCCCCTACACACAATGGACACAATGGACTTCCCTCATCATTAACATTCAGTAACGTCTAACACTGGTTCATATTTCCTTGTTCTAATCAGCTGGTGCTGGGTGTGTTTCAAACTCCAGAATTACTGCTCCCACCTATAATTCTACACATACTTCAGAGGTGATCAGGAGGATTGAAGTTTAAAGGCCAACCTGGGCCTCAGTCAAATAAAACGGGTGTGGTGACATGCAGCCTGGACCTCAGCCATCTGGGTGACCTTATGTAAGTATGCAGGCAAAATCCTAACTGAAAAACAACTAAAGCAACAACAACAACAACAAAGTGAGGTGGCTTGCACTTGGTAGGCAGGTGTTCTACCTCTTGAGTCACACCCCCTACTCTTTTCTCCGTTAATTATTTGTTTGGTCTGGGGCCAGACTCCAACCTAGATCTTCCTGGACTGCCTCCAGAGCTGGCTGGGATTCTTGGAAGCACTGTGCTCAGCCTTTTCTTTGCAATGGGATCTTGCTAACCTTTCTCCCAGGCAGGTCTTACACCTCGTTCCTCCGGATCTCAGCCTCCAGAATAGATAGGATTCCAGGCGCGAGCCACCGAAGCCTTATATACAGAAAGAACTTAATAAATATGGGAAGAAATGGGTTTCTGAGAGCTGAAGGCAGAAGGTCGCCTTGCCAGCTCAGGACTTGGACCAGGTTCAGATCCTCAGGACAGTCTTTTATTACTGGTTTGTCCTTTCATCAAAATATTCCCTGACAACGCTAGGTCTCAACTACAGTGTTCCTCTTTGGTTCCAAGTTACAACACCGTAAAAGGACGGGCAGTCGCCTAGGTGACGGCCGACGCAGAAACGCCATGACGTATCGGCGTGGAAGACACTAGTAAACCCCGCCCACCGCTCTGACCCCCCCCCCCCCGCCCGTCCTTAAAAGATGAACTGGGTTCACTCTAGATGACCTCCGAGCTTCCCGGCCCCGCACCCGGGGCGCCGCCTCCCACCAAGGGCTCGGCTGGCGTCACAGGGGCCGAGGCGAGCGGTGGAAAGGGATTAGGGTTCTTCCGGCTGGTCCGCCCCCCTCTCCCTTCCCTCCAGTGCCTGAGAAGGGGTTCGGGTTCTTCTGGCTGCTTCGCCCCGCTCTCCCCTCCCCCTGTGCCTGAGGAGAAAGCCAAGGTACAGGATTTCAGCGGCTTAGGCCCCAGGGAATAGGACGCCAGGACTCACCTCAGTAGCCCCGCGGAAACTTCCGCTAGGGCGGGAGGCGCTGCGCGCGCATCCTCCACCCGGCAGCCGGACCCAGGCGCGCAGGCGCAGATGACTTCTAACGGCCGCGTGCGCTCACCGGGGAACTTCATTTCCCAGACGGCCTTGCGGCAAGGGCCAACCCTGCGGGCTGGAGAGGGTGAAGGATTATCCCTCATCGCTCACCCACAACGGAGCATTTTCTATAATTGAATTGCTCAAGTGCTAACGTGAAGCCAATAGAGGTGAAATGCAGACGTTCTCCACCAATCAGAGGTTATGTTACCATTTCCTACCCCTACTCCTGCCAGAAATGCTCTTCCTTCACTTGTTTCCCTGGAAACCCTTTAGCTGCCAGCTTCAACAAAGGAAAAAGCTTTGGAAGGGCTGGAAAAGGCTAAAATCTAGACTACTGAACTACCCCTACTCCCATTTCTCAGCGTGCTCAGCGGGGCGCAGATTGGATGGGAAGTGAAGGCGCACATTCCTCTGGGAAATGTAGTCCCGGTGCTTGGCGCGGAGGGTCCTGGGTAGTGTAGTTCGTAAGCGGACACTACTGCGTGGCGGCGAACGTGCGAGGACTTGAGTGGCCGGATCCGTGGAGTTGCGGAGGCGTCGATTTATCCTTGCGGAGGCGCTGGCGGAGGTCGCTGGGAGCGAGCGGGAGGCTAGTGGACTCCCCGAGGGATGACAGGACGGCTAGGGCGCGTCGCCTAGGGAGTCAAGTGGCTGGAAGTTCGAGTCCTTTCTCAGCGCCTGGAAGGCCGGGCCCTGACTCCCGGGCTCCCCTGGCTCCCCGGGCTCCCCGCGCCAGCCGGTGACTGTTTTATTTCAGTTTGGGGTTGAGGAAATGAAGCAGCTGGCTGAGTTGTTCTGATCTGTGGTCTTGAGAGATGAATAGGAGTTTTTGAAGAGGTGGAAGTATTTCACTATTTTTTTTTTTTTTGCCAGTCCTGGGGCTCGAATTCTGTGCCTGAGGCGCTGTCCCTGAGCTTCGTTAGCTCAAAGCGAGCTCTTTGCACCGCGATCCTCAGATCTCAGCCTCCTGAGGAACTGGGATGACAGGTGTGAGCCACTGGCGTTTAGAACTTTACTGTGCTGCCCCAGATCCCATGTCAATCGTAGTAGACTTCCGTCTTAGTCTGGTCAGATCCTCCCCCCTCCATTGGGCCTCAGTTTCCATATAATTAAAAGCCAAGAGACAACCAGAACTCCTCCCCCCCCCAAAAAAAAATTCACAGCAAACGCAAGCCTACATTTTTCTCCTCTCAATGCCCTTGGCAGGGGCTGGGAAGATGGCTCAGTGGTAGAGCGCTTGCCTTGCATGCATGAGGCCCTGGGTTCAATTCCTCAGCACCACATAAGCAAAAAAGAAAAAAGCCGGAAGTGGCGCTGTGGCTCAAGTGGCAGAGCGCTGGCCTTGAGCTGAAGAGCTGAGGGACAGCACCCAGGACCAGAGTTCAGGCCCCATGACCGGACCCCCCCCCCAAAAAAAATGCCCTTGGCAAACAATCACCTCAAGAATATGTATTTTTATTCAGATTTTATAAAAATAATAGGGTGCATATTTAATAATCTAGACACCAGTGGAATCTGGGGCCAGTGCTTTATTGTCAAGTATTTCCGCAAGGATTCACACTGTTAAGAAGAGAAACTCATGCCGGGCGCTGGTGGCTCACGCCTGTAATCCTAGCTACTCAGGAGGCTGAGATCTGAGGATCGCGGTTCAAAGCCAGCCCGGGCAGGAGAAACCGTGAGACTCCTATCTCCAATAAACCACCAGAAAACCAGAAGTGGCGCTGTAGCTCAAGTAGTAGAGTGCTCACCTTGAGCTGAAGAGCTGAGGGACAGCGCCCAGGCCCAGAGTTCAAGCCCCACGACCAAAAAAAAAGAAGAAGAGAAACTTTACCGTCAAGATAGCTGGTGTAGAAAAAACAACCGTTTTGGGAGGTCAATTGGCTCAAATCCTAGGGAAATACAGGTATAGTGGTTTAGGCCTGAAATCCTATCTAAGTGGAAGGCAGAGATTGTGAGGATCCTAAGATTAGTAGCCAACCCTAGGCAGAAAGAGACCTCAAAACAAGCCTAGAGCCTGCTGGTGGTGGCTTACACCTGTATTCGCAGCTTCTCAGGAGGCTGAGATCTGAGGATTACAGTTGGAAGCTAGCATGTACAGGAAAGTCCAAGTAACTTCAATTTGTCTACAGTGAATCACCAGAAAACTGGAAGTGGAGCTGTGGCTCTAAGTGGTAGAACATTATTAGCCTTGAACAAAAAAAGGTTGAGTTCAAGCCCCATGACCAGCAAGACAACAACAACAAAAACCAAGCCCAGAGTGGTAGCACACACCTGTAATCCCAGCTCAACAGGATGGGTGTATATGGTAGGCAGATTGTAGTCAGAGGCCAGCCACCTGAACAAAATTGGAAAGACCCGCTCTGAAAAGTAAAGTCAAAAATGGCTGGATGGGGAGAGCACATGGCTCAAGGAGTAGAATGCCTAACACACACAAGGGTCTGAGTTCTGATTTCACCAACAAATCCTAAAGAAGAAAATCAGAAACGCAAAAAGCAGTCTTAGCAGTTCAGTTAGACACAGGACTCATTTCTGGTTGGGTCAAGTATACAGGAAGCACTTGGTATAGAGCGCCCCCTGCTGTACTGATACACAGCAGTGAGGAGGATGGCTGCCCAGGCAGAAAAAGTTTGTGGGACCCTCTTCCCCACCCTTGTCAACCCACATTTGGGTACAGTGGGAGGATGAGGTTGGGAGAATGTTGGTGGCAGGCCAGGCTGGGTAGAAAAGTCCAGGAAACTGATTCTATGGACAGGAGCCAGACATTGTGTCTGGTGCATGCATGTGATGTCAGGGATGATGGGCAGCAGGAGGTGGCAAGCAGCTCAGTAGCATGCCCAGATAGGGAACAAGATCCTATCCTGAAAATAACAATTCAAAATAGGGCTGGAGCTGAGATCCAGTGGCTCACGCCTGTAATCCTAGGTATTCAGGAGGATGAGACTGAGGATCAAGATAGGAAGCCAGCTTGGACAGAAAAGTACCTGTGAGACTCTTTTATCTCCAATGAACCACTCAAAAACCAGAAGTGGTGCTGTGGCTCAAAGTGGTAGAGCACTAGCCCTGAGCAAAAGAACGCAGGGTCGGTGCCCAGGACCTGAGTTCAAGCCCCACAACTGACCAAAAACAAAAACAAAAACATGGCTGGGGACAAGGCTCCACGCCATCACTAGTAGTACACATTCCTAGCACAAGGCCCACCAGTGGAAATGGTGGGTGTAGTTTTAATAAATATGGGTGTCATTGTGATTGCTGCAGGGAGACTGGGCCCCCGCTTCTGGACATAGAGGGCTCGGCATGGACGGGGAGTCAGCCCTGGAAGGATGGGGACGATCGGCAGCACTGCCAGTCGTGGATATGGAGGGGGAGGAGCAGCCGCCTCAAGACCACTGGCAAGCAGCCATGGCTGAGGTGAGTCGAAAATCCATTCATCTTCATGGAGAGTCTCCAAGGGAACAGCAGCGTGCCTTTCCTGAGCCTCACCTTGACTCCCAAGCCATTTACACAAGCCAGACTCTCAGGGGGTCCTTCCAGGAACCCTGATTGGCTATGGGATAAAAGTGGGTTCCTCAGCTCATCCCAGCATCATCTGCCATTTCCCCAGATAACCCGTGTCTGCCCTAGAGGCCAGATGTCATGCTGCACTTGCCAGGTGCCCTGCCTTGGCTGTGCCTTCGGCCTGGATGTCCTGCCAATGTCCTCCCCAGCTTAGCCCCGCCATTCCTGGCCCTGCTGGGGCCTCTGCCCGCCCTCTGTGCGCCCATAGTAGCCTCACTCACCTCAGTGTTGTTGTCCCTGCCCCTGCCCCTGCTGGCTACACTACCTGACCCAGTTCTTGCATGGGATTTTCTTTTTGGGGGGGAGGGGGGTGAAGGGGGCCTTGTCCCTGAGTTTTTGTTTTCAAGGCTAGTACTTTACCACTTTAAAACTGCATCTCTACTTCCAGTATTTTTGGTGGTTCATTGGAGATAAGAGTTTCAGACTCAACTGGTAGAACACTAGCCTTGAGCTGAAGAACTGAGGGACAGCGCCCAGGCCCAGAGTTCAGGCCCCATGACCAGACCCCCCCCCAAAAAAAAAAAGAGTTTCACAGAGCCAGGTGCTGGTGGCTCATGTCTAATCCTAGCAACTCAGGAGGCTGAGATCTGAGGATCATGGTTCAAAGCCAGCCAGGGCAGGGAAGTAGTCCGTGAAACTCTTGTCTCCAGTGAATCACCAGAAAACTGGAAGTGGTGCTGTGGCTCAAGTGGTAGAGCACTAGCCTTGAGCTGAAGAGCTGAGGGACAGTGCCAAGGCCCAGAGTTCAAGCCCCAAGACTGACCAAAAAAAAAATAAAAAAAGCTTCATGGATTTTCCTGCCTGGGCTGACTTTGAACCAAGATCCTCAGATCTCAGCATCCTGAGTAGCTAGGATAGGTGTGAGTCATTGATGCCCAGCCCAGGCTTGTTACACAACATGACTCAAGAGGGGTTTGTTGAATGAATGAATACATTTCTCTACTTGGTAAACACCTGCTCGTCTCTTACTGGTCCTGGGTGGATGTCCCCCTCCCCCTCCACTCCAGGAGGCTTACCTCCCTCCTGTTCCCTGGCTCCCTCAGCCCCTAATGCCATGGCTGTCGCTCAGGCTGTCCACTGGGGTGTCTCATGTTTGTGTAGCAGACTGAGCAATCAAGGCCAAGACCAGATTTAACATGTGTCTGTGTGCCCAGCTCTTGTCATGGGAGTCTGGCACCCAGATCAAAGGCAATGACCCTGTTGCCTTCTGTGGCTCCCCAGTGCCACATCCCTGCCCTTGTCTTCCTGTCCATTCCACTGCCGGTTCTGGGGTTTCGGGGGTCTGTCCAGTGTAGACTGGGAGCTGAGGAAGGGGAGGCCTCCTCTCAGGCCCTCTGATCTGGCTCCTGTGGATAAACCTTTTTTTGGGGGGGTCAGTCATGGGGCTTGGACTCCGGGCCTGCGCACTGTCCCTTAGCTCTTCAGTTCAAGGCTAGTGCTCTACCCTTGATCCACAGTGCCACTTCTGGTTTTCTGAGTGGCTCATTGGAGATCAGAGTCTCATGGACTTTCCTGCCCAGGCTAGCTTTGAACCATGATCCTCAGATCTCAGCCTCCTGAATAGCTAGGATGACAGGCGTGAGCTACCGGCCCCTGGTTGGATAAACCATTTTGACTCGTCCTTAGAGACAGGGGCATTTCAATAACAAGAAGCCCTGGATTTGATTCCTCAGCACCACAAACACTGTAAAAGCCAGAGTGGGGCTGTGGCTCAAGTGGTAGAGTGCTAGTCTTGAACAAAAGAAGCTCAAGGAGCCGGGTGCCAGTGGCTCATGCCTGTAATCCTAGCTACTCAGGAGGCTGAGATCTGAGGATCACGATTCAAAGCCAGCCCAGGCAGGAAAGTCCGAGAGACTCTTATCTGCAATAAACCACTAGAAAACCAGAAGTGGCACTGTGGCTTAAGTGGTAGAGCGCTGGCCTTGAGCTGAAGAGCAGAGGGACAGCACCCAAGCCCAGAGTTCGAGCCCCACAACTGACAAAAAAAAAAAAAAAGAAGCTCAAGGATAGCACCTAAGCCCTGAGTTCAAGCCCCAGGTCTGGCAACAAAACAAAACAAAAAACCAGAACTTCCAACCCCCAGCTTTTTATTCTTTTTTTGTTTTTGGTTTTGTTGGTCATGGGGCTTGAACTCTGGGCCTGGGCGCTGTCCCTCAGCTCTTCAGCTCAAGGCGAGCGCTCAACCACTTGAGCTACAGTGCCACTTCTGGTTTTCTAGTGGTTTATTGGTCTTTCATACCTGGGCTGGCTTTGAACCACGATCCTCAGATCTCAGTCTCCTTAGTAGCTAGGATTATAGGCTTGAGCCACTGGAGCCCGGCTTGCTTTTCATTCTTTTTATTTTTGCAGGGGGGGGGGGTTCGGTCGTGGCGCCTGAACTCTGGGCCTGGACACTGTGCCTCAGCTCTTCAGCTCAAGGCTAGCGCACTACCACTGAGCCAACCTCCCAGCCCCACTGATTTTCATTCTTATATTGTGCATGTGCAGTGGGCCATGACAGTGTGATCACTGTTTCTCCACCTTCTCTCAAGTTGCTTATCTGCTTTTTTTTTGGGGGGGGGTCTGTTCATGGGGTCTGAACTCTGGGCCTGGGCGCTGTCCCTCAGTTCTTCAGCTCAAGGCTAGCGCTCTACCACTTGAGCCACAGCGCCACTTCTGGCTTTTTTTTTGTCTGCTTATGTGGTGCTGAGGAATCGAGCCCAGGGCCTCAAGCATGCAAGGCAAGTGCTCTACCACTGAGCCACCTTCCCAGCCCGACTTATCTGCTTCTTGAATGTTGGGATTTTTATTAAAAAGAGCTTAGAAGTTCTGAATGGAGAAAGCCAAGACTAGAAGGTAGATGGGAGCCACATGCCTCTGTGGGCCTGGTGTCACTAAGCCACACCCACAAATCAGGCCTCAGCCCTTCTCACCAGTTTCCAGCAAATGTAAGGGGCAGAGCGGCAGCCTGGCAACACAACAAGGAAGCAGGTGCCACATGCAAAATGTGGGACCTTAGCCGGGCACTGGTGGCTCACGCCTGTAATCCTAGCTACTCAGGAGGCTGAGATTTGAGGATCGAGGTTCAAAGCCAGCCCAGGCAGGAGAGACCATGAGACTCCCATCTCCAATAAACCACCAGAAAACCGTAAGTGGTGCTGTAGAGCACTCGCCTTGAGCTGAAGAGCTGAGGGACAGAGTTCAAGCCCCACGACCGACAAAAAA